ATTTCTGAAGAATGGTCTAGGCCCGAAACGTCAGCCTTCCTGCTCCTCTGATGCTGCTTGGCCTGCTGTGTTCATCCAGCTCTACACCTTGTTATCTCTAATTTCCCTTGCTGTTCCTCAACTCTAGCTGCACAGATTCCATGCCTTTTAACTGTATATTGCTGCTTGTTATCATTTTAATTTCATTTCTTATTAACAGAGCAATTCCACCCCCGTCCCTGTCCTTTTGACAAGACATACGTCCTTGGATGTTTAGTTTCCAACCCCATCCCCTTGCAGCCACGACCTTGTGATGTCCACAAAATTGTACCCACCAATTTCAGTCTGTGCTACAAGCTTATTTACCTTGTTTCATGTGCTGCCTGCATTTAAGTACAATACCCTCAGTCCTGCATTGACCATCACCCTTCTCATCATTGTCCCCTTATCTGCTTTGCTTGAAGTTAGATTCCTGATCGTTTCCACACTGACTTCCTATTACTTGTTTTGGAAACTTTAAAAGCGTCTCCTGAGCTCTTCCCAGTTTTAACTAGGTTAAAGACGTTGCGACCACATATTTGGCATTTCCATGAGGATCCTCGTTCCAGATCAGTTCTGGTGGAGCCTGTCCCAGTGATGCAGTTCCCTCTTATCCGAATACCCCAGTACCAATGCCCCAAAAAATGCAACCCCTCTTTCCCACACCACTCCTTTAGTCATATCTTTACTTCCTTAATCATCATCTCTGTCTGTCAATTCGTTTGTGGTTACAATGATGAAGAACATGGAACATTTTAGCAGAAGATGATGCTAAAATATTTGCAAACAGCTCCTGCCAAATGTGCCAATTGAGACCACTGTACACAGCTCGCCGTTGCAAATGCCATTGTCCAGCCAGTTTATTTCTCTCCACATAACATGACTAGATGCCCATTGGCACCTGTTTTTAAGAATTAAACAGCTGAATGTATTGGACAAAGTAAAAGTAATAAACCCTGACAACAATAGAAGAGCTATTCCTAAGCTAATTTTGTGCAAATAAAGCTATGATATCAATAACATGAAAAATTACCAGAAATTACCATTACCTAGAAATATAAGAAATAGGAGCTGGAATAGACCTTTCAACCCTTTGAGCCTGTACCACTATTCAATGAAATCTTAGCTGATCTTTGACATCAATGCCATTTTCCTGAAGTATCCTTGTATTCCTTCATATTGTAACCTATCGAACATCCTCAACAACAGAGCCCCTACAGCCCTCCGGGGCAGAAAATTATCAAGATTTGCCACCTTCTGAATGAAGAACTTGCTCCTCACTTCAGGTCTAAATGTCCTTGTCTTACTGTGAGACTAAGTCCCTGGTCCTAGACACTCAGGAAAGGGAGAATCCTCCTTGCCATCTCCTACTGGTTTGTGTAAAGTAATTTTAGATGTTTGAATGAGATTATTTGTCAGTCTTAAAACACTAGATAATACAGGCCCAGTCTATTTAATCCTCCATCACAGGACAATCCCTTCATCCCAGGAATTAGTTTGACCCATTATTGAACTCCTTTATGGCAAGTATATCTTTCTGGGGTTAGGAGAGCAAATTTAGTAATGAAAGAAGACAAGGGTAATTATAACTATCTTGACGACACGATGTGTCAGAACCATATATTTTCAGTCTCTGCACAGCCCTATTCCTGATGTGTGTGGTTTAATGAGAATGGTTATGACTATGGGAGCACAAACAGAAATTCCTGGAAAAACTCAGCAGATCTGGTAGCATCTGTGGAGATGATTATGGGAAGTCATTTATAACATGATGTAACAATGACATCAGCAGTCACGTGCATGAAGGAAGAATGGAATTGTCTGTGCTCCAGAGATGCAATTATTGAGAACAAAATCACATTCAATTGTGTAAGTAAGAGTTTGCAGAAATCTACCAGAGTCAGACAGCAGTCACTCTTTGTTTGTGGCCTGTACCTTGCTGTCAGATGCTCTGAAGATAACTGTCTCTCCACAATCCTCATGGCAACTCACACCTACATGGGTGTAAGGGGTGAAGGCTTGTATAGTGAAAATAAATCAAAGCAATATTTCAGGTTTGCTGTAAGAAGCCCAAGAAGGAAATTAAGTTCTATCAAAGTGAAATGTTGTTACCCCGCTATTTGATCAAATTTGTGGAATTTCCTACCGAACACCATGTTCCCAACAATTAATTGGGGGAAATTTCTGCTTATTCATCACTGGATGTTGGACGTGCTGTCTGACAATTTAAAGAGAGATGGTGGTGAGGTAGAAATGGATTTTATCAATGTCCAAATATCTTGTATAAAACAAATTCACTGATGGAAGACCAAATGCTCCAAGTGCTGGAATATGAAATAAAAACAGTAAATGCTGAAAATACTCAGCGAATCTGGTAGTATTTGTGGAGCAAGAAACTGAGTTATGTTTCAGATTAATGACAATTCTCCATCTTAACCAAAAGTCATCAACCTGAAATACCAACTGTTTCTGTCTACAGGTGCTATCAGACCTTTTCAATATTTTCAGTAATTGCTGGCCCAGTCAGTGACATCCATATCACAAGTGAATAAAAAAATTCAGAATTTCTACTTTTGATTTTTTGATAACTTTTCAAAGCTGAGAGAGAGAGAGAGAATTCCAGTAACTAAAAAGAATTCAAAGTGAAGTTCAATAGCTAAAAATAATTTATAGAGCGAGAGAGAATGAATTCTGTTGGCTAAAAATAATTGAGTGACAAGTCGTTGCCACTGAAAATTTAGGCCACTGCACCAGAAATTTGCCCTCTTAAATAATATTTGCTGAATTTGTCTTTGTGTGCGCTGTGGCCCTGCTGCCCTGGTGTTTTGTGTGGAAATACTTTCTCTGACCTGTGTTTTCTATGCCTCTTTAAGATCCCTGAAATCTTGAACCAAGACTTGACCTGTTTTAGTAGATCAAAGGAATCACATTCTGGCCAATGGTAATTGTAAAATTTAGTGGTGTGCATGAGGCCAATATTCCTTTGAGCTATACTTGTACACAGCCATCCAGAAATCCACAGTATACCAGGCAGGAAACAAACAGCCTGCACACAAGCAAACTTCCCTTTAAAAGGCATGCATCAGCCCACATTCACAAATGCGTAGCAGCCTTGAAAGGAATATAATACAACAAATGGGTCATGCACAGGAAACTGAAAGTAGAGGGAACATCTGGCTTAAGTTCCATCTTCTGACAATCAAACCATGTTGGATGGAGGATACATTCCTGTCTTAATTATTGCTTGTCGCATTGAATTTCTATTAACAGGATGCAGGAACCTGACTTTCACCCAACATGAAATCCTTGAAGGGTAGGAAGTGGGAGTTCACAGGAAAGTCTAAGTCTGAATGTGCTAAAGCATTGGTGAAATAATTGGTCTCGGTAATGTTTATGATTTGGATTTTGAACCTCAGATCTATATCTTTTCGTTCTTGGGCAGTCCTTACGTACAAGAATTTTGCTGTCTCTTGCAGTCCTGTATCAGTTGTCTGTGCCCATTAAAACTAAGAGGTTTGAATGGGAAAGGGGCAAGGGTGGCCATTGCTGCAGAAGTGAGCCTTGGCAGATTAGTCCTCAGGGCTGGGGGACAGAGGAGATGACAGTTATGTCGGAGGCTAGCAATATCTGCAAGGGACAGTATGGTCAAGCACGGTTGAGAACAGGTCATGTAGGATTGATGGTGATTTTTCTTATGTGGCCAGAAGCACCCTATCCTCAAGGGACAAGGAGCAGTGAATGACCACACCTACAATGGTCATCTCATAAGCCAGGGGCTTATGTCACTGTTGGCTGTTCTTTTAGACCATAGAAATGGCACTACTGTGATGACCTCAGACCAGACTGCTAGGGTCTGGTGACGGGACCTCTGTCTGTCCTCCTTTACAGCACGCCCTCAATAGGTCCCTTTTGGAGAGTTGCAATTCTATCTTCCCCTTTCCAAAAATTATCTTGAATAAGCACAGCTGGTTCAGACTACCAGTGCTTGTCTAGGTACACAGTGGGCTTTTAAAAATGGCACAGCTGCAAGTTGTTTAGGCAGATATCCTCTGAATGGTGAGTTGTTCTGAGAACAGCATGTGGTAGGATGTAAGATAACAAGGTGTAGAGTTGGATGAACACAGCAGGCCAAGCAGCATCAGAGGAGCAGGAAGGCTGACGTTTCAGGCCTAGACCCTTCTTCAGAAAGCTTTTTTCCGGAGGGCGGAGGGTAACTTCTTCAGGGTAGGCATCCTTAGAAGAGGCTTCGCAGTAGGGTTAAAGTTGTTTCAGAGATAGTAGGAACTGCAGATGCTGGAGAATCTGAGATAACAAGGGGTAGAGCTGGATGAACACAGCAGGCCAAGCAGCATCAGAGGAGCAGGAAGGCTGACGTTTCGGGCCTGGACCCTTCTTCAGAAACGATGTAATTGGAATCAATTAGGATGTGATTGGAATCAAACATGGCGGACTCCATAAGAACAGGGTAGGAAGTTGTATGGCAGGTTCAGACTCAATAGGCAAAAGGGCCACTTCTGTACTGTGTAATTGTGTATGGTAAGAGAAGTCATTATGCCTTGTGATGAATAGCCCTGCAAAGAACTCAAAGTAACTCAGACTTAGCCAAAAACTATATGATTCAACTGTGTATCATTCTTTACCAAATTCTATATTTGCAACCTTAGCTCAAAATAAACTTTTATTAAATGCTCTTTAATCTTCCAGATTATGTATTCTAGCCTATATTGATCATTTATGAATTCTGCTAATTTACGTGATAACTTGTTCATAGTTTACCAAAATTTGTTAATTCAATCTTAATTATTCAGTATTTGTTGGTTAAAATGTATTGAACTGAAAATTGGAGTTGAATTATTTGCTCCAAAATGTTGTGTTTCTGACTTCAATGTTTTATGCGTGCCTTTCATTGTTTCATTTAACTAACTGTTCATAGGTGAAGCAAATGCAGTCATCGCAAAAGCAAAGGCAAAAGCAGAAGCCATTCAAATGCTGTCTGAAGTACTTAGTCAACAGGTATGGAAAAGTGAATCCACAGAGCTGAATTCCATTAAAATATTTTAATTTTAAATAGAATGAAGAAATAGCAAGAACTTGCACTTTTTCCCTTTCCTGTGATTAACAGTACGGAAGCCAAGCAGCCTCACTGAGTGTAGCTGAGCAGTATGTGTCTGCCTTTAGTAACTTGGCCAAAGAATCCAATACCATTCTTCTTCCGGCAAATACAGGTGACATCAGTAGCATGGTGACACAGGTAAGATGGATATTCTAACTTAAATACTTAGAACACAAATCAAAGATCCTAGTGTGAGTGAAATTTGTTCATAAAATTACTTGTGTTATGTTGCATTGCACTGATATTGATTTTCTCTTTTGCAAATTTTATTTTGTAAACAGTGTTTAAGTCTTTTCATGTTGGTTTGGCTATGACTTCTTGCTCAAGTATGTTTTGAGCATCTGTTGCTGATAACTTGGAGCTGTCTTATTTTGAATCAGAAAATTAATCAAATCCTGCAGTCTTTTAAAACAGGATTTTGGTAGCTGTTACAGATTTTAATTTGATAACCTCTGACTGAAAATAAATTGCTTTTGTGTCTTTGAGATTTTTTTTATCTTATGCTAATCAAAGGGCAGATGAGCACCCCGGATTTACGTGGACAACTTAATGAGTGTTCATTGACAATTCCCTGCAGATAATAGCAGTATCTAATATTGATTACTTGGTTGTCAGAAGGACATGAAATTAATCATTCTGAGTAATGGTTCTGGGTAGCAAAGCAGTAAATAACCCAAGGGGAGAACACTTGAGAAATAATAATTTAATTGAATTCAGATAAAGATAACACAGAAATATCAGGCAAGCATTGGACAATGAAGAATTCTAAGCTTGGGCACTAAATCTGAAAAAAGGGAAACAGCAAAAGAATGCTGTTGCAATGGGTTACATTTGGTGCGATAGACTGGGTAACTTAATTCAAAAGCATAACACTAGATAGACCATGATCAATATTTAGGGACAAGTGTATACATTATAGCATTGCACATTCCTTTCAGATGGGGAAAGAAAGAAAACACATGTGGCCCAAGTATGGTTAACAGAATAGAAATGTATGAACTAGCAGCAGGAGAAGGCCATTTGGGTCATTGGGCCTGCTCGACAATTCAATGAGATCGTTGCTGATCTTTTGTTTCAGCAACGTATTCCCCCTCTCTCCCCAAACCTTTTGACACCTTTAGGCTTTAGAAATCTATCTAGATCTTTCTTAAATATATTCAGTGACATGGTCTCCTCAGACTTCTGTCATAGAGAATTCCATAAGAACGTAAGAAATATCTAAGGAGCAGGCCATTTAGCACCTCAAGCTGCCCCCACACCCTACTATTCTATAAGATCATGGTTTCAACCTCAACTTCTATTTCATGCTAGCTGTTCATAGCCCTCATCCCTCATTATTTCAAAAATCTATCTACCTCCTCTTTAAGTGATTTTAGTGATGTAGCCTCCACAACTCTCTGGAGGAAAGAATTCCAAACATTTGCTGCCCTTTGAGAGAAGAATTCCTTTGCATTTCAGTTTTAAATGATTGTCCCCTTATTCTATACGTATGTTTGAGATTGCCCCACCGGTGGAAACATCTTAAGCCCCTCAGAATCATATATATTTAATTAGATCACTCCTCATTCTCTAAACTTGAGAAAATAAAGGCCTAACCTGTTAATTGTTCTTGATAAGTCAACCCCTTCATCTCAGGAATCAGCCTATTGGATCCATTTTGAACCACCTCCAATATCAGTACATTCTTTCTTCAATACAAGGACCAAAATTATAAACCATGTTCCCACTTGTGATTTCTTTCCCTTGATATTCTTTATTTCCATCTAAACTAATTCCATATCACAATCTATTGCACCTAGATTAGTACTCGCCACTGCACTGATGCTATCCTTCATTAACAATGCCACCCCACCTCCATTTCCTTTTGCCTAGAATGTTAAATTCCTTAAATATTGAGTTCCCGATTCTGGTCACAGTGCAACCACGTCTCTGTCAGTGCTAACAAGTCATACTCATTTATTTCTATTTGTGCTGCAATCTCATATCTTGTTAGAAATGCTACATGCATTCAGATAAAGAGCCTTAAGACTAAGGTTGCCAATGCGAGAGTGAACCATTTATTCCTGCTCTCACTTTTCTGTCTGTTGGCCAATGATTAATCATGCCAGTACATTGCTTCCTATTGCATGCGTTTTAATTTTTCTAACTAGCTCCTGTGGATGGATTTATCAAAAGCTTTCTGAAAAACCATGTATACTATGCCCATTGGCTCTCCTTTATCAATTTTATTAGTAACATCTTCAAAAAAAACCTTTAAGTTTGTCAAATACAGTATCCTATTCGTGAATCTGAGCTATGACCAATCTCATCGTTATCAGTTCATCCTTTATAATAGATTCTAGCATTTTCCCTACTACTGATATAAGACTAACAGATCTGTAGTTCCTACTTTACTCTCTGGCTCCTTTCTTAAATAGTGTAGTGATATTTGCCACCTTCCAATCTGCAGTATTCATTCCAGAATCTGTTTAATTTTGGAAGATAGTCACCAATGCATCAACTATCTCTTTACTCATCTGCTTGAACACTCTCTGGGATGTAGACGAACAGGTCTTGGGGATTTATCAATTTTTTAGTCCCATTAATTCCTCCAGTACATCGTTTTACTAATGCTAATTTTCTTCAACTCCTCATTCTCTCTTCTTATCTGTTTTTCCAAAACATTGAATATCCTTGAATATTCACTTCCCAGTCCTGGTCACCGTGAAGCCATACGTCTGTAATGGCAATTAGATCATACCCGTTTGCTCTATTTATACCTTTAAATCATCTACCTTATGCACTTCTCTTTTTGACATTATTCAATTTTGAAGCATATTTGTTGCTTGACTTTTGTTTCCCCTGCCTACTAGTCTCCCTGGCATCTTTTTAACTTCCTGTTACCAGTTTAATTCTCTTCCAACTTAGTTAACCCTCAGATTCCCATCCCCTTAACAAGCTAGATTAAACCCCTCCTAACAGCACTATCATATCTCCCTTTTTGTTTCTTTATTCATTCACGGAATGAGGGAATCGCTTGCTAGGCAGCATTTATTGCCCATCCCTAATTGCCCAGAGGGCAACCACATTGCTGTGGGTCTGGAGTCACATGTAGACCAGGTAAGGATGGCAGTTTCCTTCCTTAAAGGACATTAGTGAACCAGATGGGTTTTTTCGACAATCGACAATGGATTCATGGTCATCATTAGATTCTTAATTCCAGATATTTTATTGAATTCAAATTCCACCATCTGCCATGGCAGGATTTGAACCCGGGTCCCGAGAAAACTGTCTGGGTCTCTGGATTAATAGTCCAGAGATAATACCACTAGGCCATCGCCTCCCTGTGAGGATATCAGTCCTAGTCTCATTGAGGTGCAACCTATCCAGTTTGTATAGGTCCCACCTGCAGAACTGGTCCCAATTCTTGGAAAATCTGATGTCTTCCCTCCTGCACCAATTCTCTAGCCACATAATTAACCAATCAGTCCTCTTGTTCTTAAACTCATGAGCACATGGCCCTGGATTACTCTTGAGATTACTGCTGTTGAGGTCCTGCTTTTTCATTTCTTTCCTAATTCCCCGAAAATTACCTCTAGGATCTCATTAAGTTTCCTATCTTTGTTGAGAAATTATTGTCCTCCCTAATTTCCAAAATAGAATACGACTCACAAACAAGTTAGACTCATAGGGACCCCTGCACTACCTGCCTGGTTTTCTTAGATTATCTGGCAGTCACTCGTTCACATTCTGCCTGTACGCTTCTAATCTGTGGTGTGACTACTTCCCTCAACCTGCTTCCCACATATTCCCCTGCCTTGCAGGTGCACAAGTGACTCTAGCTGCTACTCAAGTTCAAAAACCCAGAGCTCAAGCTTATGCAGCCAATGATACTTTATGCAAATGTGTTTGTCTGGGACATATGTTATGGTTATGTCCATAACTCCACATCCACCACAGGTTGTGTACTCCACTTGATCCTTCTGGCCAAAGTTCCCTCTAAACTGCACAGCCTCTTCAAATTTTCACACACGCTGGTTCACGTACTCGCTCAGTGACTTCTAGCACAGATCTTGGAGATCCGCAGACTGAAGAAAAAAATTCTGATCTACCATCCCGTAACACTTAAAACTAAGTTCCTTCACTGACACAATGTCAAAATCCTGGAATTCCCTCCTTAAGGGCATTGTGGGTCAACCGAGAGCATGTGGACTGCAGCGTTTCAAGAAGGCAACTTGCCCCCATCTTCTAAAGGACAACTAGGGGCAGGAAAAAATGTTGGCCAGCCAGCAATGTCCACAAGTGAATTAAAAAAGTACAATTTACCTAATAATAACTTAAGCTATTTCTCTGGGGAAAAAAACTAAAGAATTAAACATGAAGTAAATAGCCAACTTTCACTTTAAAAGTCATAAACACTGACCAATCATACTCAGCAATTAGCTGCCTTACTTGCACTTGTGACACCACATCACCATTGTCTCAGTGCAGGTAAGCCTCTTGATCTGTGCCTTATTTCCCTTCCGGCTTACCTCTTGCTCTGGAGATTTTATTTATTTCAATAAACATTAATAAAGCCTCCATTTCCCCCTCTGCCCTGATTTCCCACTTTGACCCAAGTTCCCCGATACTCACTCCTCTGTCTCTGTCTCATTCAGGCAAAGTCTTCCTCATTCTGAACATACAACTTATTCATATTTGAGGTCAGTGAGCATAAGAACATAAGAGCTAGGAGCAGGAGTAGGCCATCTGGCCCCTCGAGCCTGCCACGCCATTTAATAAGATCATGGCTGATCTTTGAGACTCAGCTCCACTTACCCGCCCACTCACCATAACCCTTAATTTCTTTACTGTTCAAAAATTTACCTAGTCTTGCCTTAAAAACATTCAGTGAGGTAGCTTCAACCACTTCACTGGGCAGGGAATTCCACAGATTCACAACCCTTTGGGTGAAGAAGTTCCTCCTGACCTCAGTCCTACATCTGCTTCCCTTCGTTTTGAGGCGATGCCCTCTAGTCCTAGTTTCACCTGCTAGCGGAAACAACCTCCCTGCTTCCACCTTATCTATTCCCTTCATAATCTTATATGTTTCTATAAGATCTCCCCTCATTCTTCTGAATTCCAATGAGTATAATCCCAGTTACTCAGTCTCTCGTCATAATCCAATCCTCTCAACTCTGGAATCAACCGAGTGAATCTCCTCTGCATCCCCTCCAGTGCTAGTATATCTCTTCTCAACTAAGGAGACCAAAACTGCACACAGTACTCCAGGTGTGGCCTCACCAGGACTGCAGAATAGCCTCCCTGTTTTTAAACTCCATCCCTCGAGCAATGGCAGACAAAATTCCATTTGCCTTTTTAATCACCTGCTGCACCTGCAATCCCACCTTCAGCGATTCATGCACAAGGACACCCAAGTCCCTCTGCACAGCAGCGTGCTGCAATTTTTTAACCATTTAAAACATAGTCCATTTTGCTGTTATTCCTACCAAAATGGATGACCTCACACTTATTAACATTGTACTCCATCTGCCAGACCTTTGCCCACTCACTTAGACTGTCTATATCCCTCTGCAGACTTTCAGTGTCTTCTGCACACTTTGCTCTACCACTCACCTTAGTGTCATCTGCAAATTTTGACACACCACACTTAGTCCCCAACTCCAAATCATCTATGCAAATTGTAAACAATTGAGGTCCCAACACTGATCCCTGAGGCACACCA